AACTATGCAGAAATTGATACACAAGAAACAATAGGAACAAGTTTGCTTCTCCCTTGACACCGCAACGTAACAGAGGCCGGAAAAAGTGATGGTAAAAGTAAAGCATTATTGTTATTTTATTTTTGTCCGCGTCAATTTTTTTTTTTTAATCGGGTATCTGGAGATGGTTACTAACATCTTTGTTTAAGGAAGAGTTTTGCCTGGCATCTGCAGCACAATCATGTCATAAAAGTGATGATTAGAGGTGTTACAAGAAATTATTCTGTCTGTAATAACCCCGTGTATTGGAATAACTATTCATGATTTGTTTCTCGCCCACAGACGCACCGTGTACTCCCGATACAACCCCAACGACTGGTTCCTGTCCAACAGCTGCAACTACTCGCTGTCGGACAAGGAGCGCAGTTTCGCCGAGAGGCTCCGAGCCGACGCCTGGCGCGCCGTCAAGGAGACTGATGCCCGCACACGCAACAGGCAGAATGACGTCACCAAGAGATTAGGTACTTGCGCGACCTGGCTTGGGTCCAGTTTATCTATCTATCTATCTATCTATCTATCTATCTATCTATCTATCTATCTATCTATCTATCTGTCTATTTACCTATCTATCTTTCTAGCTATCTAGCTATCTAGATATTTAGCTATCAAGCTATCTATTTAGCTAACTCTCTGTGTTCCCGTTTTCTGTATCGTTGACCTTCTTTGTCTGTCTGTCTGTCTGTCTGTCTGTCTGTCTGTCTGTCTGTCTGTCTGTCTGTCTGAAACAGTCAACGAATAGGTGTATTGATATGGCGGAACCACTAATGTTTTTATTCTCCGCATTCTGTCTGATGGAGATAAACATTTTCATTGACTTTTATTTGCAATGACTTATTTGTTGTGTTTAGATAATGCCCATGTGAGAGGTAACGAGTCCGCATGATTGCATGTTCCCAGCAGTCTTCTTAGGTATTAGCACAACAGCCAGTCAGCTAACAGAGTACCCATAGCTTAGTCCTTCTCCTTGATAACTCCTTAAATCAATCAGGATCTTCCGTCATTGTTTTCTTAAGCTCTACACAATAGATCGTCATTTATATTAACTCAGGAAACCTGTTTTTATTTTATTTGTTCATAACCATTCATAGCTTACATCGGATGGTATAATCATTGTTTTGTTGTTGTTTTAAAATCATTTAACAATGTTTTCTCTGGCCAATGAAACTATTCACTGGTGCTAGCCGCTGTTTTCATCGGTATATCACTCTTCTCATGGTCGCTTCGCCATCTTGTGAAGGTGAGCGCGTACAGGACATTGCCTTTTGGAAGTCAGAGTTAAATAATGAAATCAATGCCATGGCAACCGAGATGGAGAATCTCAAGGTATCGGGGCAACTCTATGCCATTTTCTTACTTTGTACTCCGTAGACATCTAATGTCTTGAAACAAAAGAGCACGTTATTGCTGTGAAATGGTAGGGAAAAAACCCTCAATAATGTAAGAAGTGATTTTGAAGAATATTTCAGTAATTCATGTTTTGGTTTATGGATAAATCTTAAATACCCCATAACAATCGGAAAAACTTTAACAATAGGATAGGGTGCTTTGCATTTCCGAGAAAAAAACCCCAAACAAACAAGTAAACGGACACTTTACTTGCATGAGAAGGGAACAGGTACTGAGAAAGTGAAAACAGGAGTTTAAAATCTCGCCAGAGGTAAATATTCAACTAACTTTCATGGACATTTGTGCTCTTTTGTCATAAGACTACAAACAGTAGACACTCACTTTACTAAGTATTACTTGATTGTGCCTATTTTTACTTCATTTATATTTTCTTTTCAGTGAAACATTGATTAGTATGCTTTTGTCTGTGCGTATTACCGCTAACCATATGGCTTTCGATCTGGAATTCTATTTAACATTATAAGCACACTTCTGTCGTAATAGCTCGACTGTTTATGATCGGGATCGATTTCTTTCTATCTAATCCTGTTCACAAACAGCACACTCTTTGGAGCTTTGCGTCTTTACAGTTTGTCAAAGCCTGTTCATAGCCGCCCCGCCCCCTTTTTTTGGCCTATCAAAATCCGATAATGTTGTTCTCTTCATTAACGCGTACATTCGCTTTGGGCATGGTTTAGTTTTCAATATGCTCACTATTGGCATTTGTTATTCTCTCAGCATTTCGTTCTTCTCGAACTCAGAAGTACTGATCCTTATCGATGACCATTCTTCTCTTCTTTTTTAAAATAAACATTTCCTTCTTAGCCAGCTTCTACACTCTCGCCATATACCGCTTTGTCCTTTCCCCTCAATATACTCTGGGTTGTAGTTATTTGTTTATAATATTTACTTTTTTGGGTTTTTGACAGGGTGAAAGATCTCTGGCATCTATATCAGAACTATACGTCACCCTTGTGATAGGACCGGTTCACCCTCTAAATATCAATATTTAAGAACTATTTGATCTATAGGTTGTAAATTATTCATTTCATAAGCTCAGTCAAATGCAGGTTTGAATTTTGACAAGAAATTCTTCTTTTTTTTATTGTTTCGGTAAAATTTACTCCCTTTGGATTAGCCGGTTCTATCACAAGGGTTTCGTGTATATATTATTTACCCGAAGTATGAATACTTTAAAGCATATTTTACAAAAATGTCCTCCCCTAAAAACACATAGACAATAATGGAAAATTAAGAGCATCCAAACAGTTTTTGAGGTCAATAAATGAAAAGAAAGAAGTTATCCTTTAACCGCCAGACCCAGTGAAGCTTTCCTAACACTAGCATCTCATAGAGCAGTGCTTCTCTTCTCTAATTCATGACACTGTACTTTCGCTTACGTCATCATTAATCAAGTGAGGCTGTCATGTTCCTGGCCCTGAGACGAAAATGCCTCGACGCCGTGGATCTATGTCTGTATGATGTTGATCATATCCCCAATGGGATTTGCCCAAAATGCCATTTTGTCTCTCAACCCACAGTCTAATAATGTCGAATGACGGAGAAACATTTGAATTGAAACTGAGGACAACTCTTTTCCACCCCTACCCCCACAACCATCTCCATACTTCTCCCAGGGACCAGAAAAACATACTTACAGGCTACATGCTGAACAAAGCTTAACACAAAACAGATCTCCACAGAATGTTATTTTTCGAAACAACAACCAATAGCACTTCGTGTTTGATGTCGAGAAGTATTTTTCTTTCATATTTTCGTTTTCTCCTATATTTTGTTGCAAGTTGGTCCCGGAGCGGGACGATGTGGGGCAGAGTCGTTAGTTATATCTATGTACATTTGTTTCTGATTATTGAACACCAAGACATGGGCGATTGAACATATAAGGAGAAGATAGACTGTGCTCGTCAAATAACGAGAGAAGCGTCCAGAACACTTGGTGGCATGCTGTTACTTCAGTTGGTGTCTAAACTAAGCTTTTGTGAGGATAACCCAGGTTTGAACAATCATAGGGGCGTTCTTGAGCTTGAGTTGGTCGGGAAATAATGAAGGCTCTCAACGTACTAGGCTTGGTCATATCGGATGAATACTTCAATTCGAGGTCTCAATTCCTGATTAATAACCTTACAATGTTGTAAGGACGAAATACCCGTACCATATTATTACACCACTGAGAAGCTGAGGTACGCACCAGTCACACCAGTCTCGCATGATCTGTATGGGTGGTATAACTGACGTCCGGGCAACAAGTAGTAGATTCAGTGTGTGACGTAACCTCTCCCCAGGTGAACGTGTGTATGACATCACCTTCTGGAAGAGCGAGCTCAACAATGAGATTAACGCCATGGCCACCGAAATCGAAAACTTGAAGGTAATAAACAAACAGACAAACAAACAAATAAACAAACAACAGACATGTTCCGTGGCGAGACTGGTCAGTTCATCACCTCATACATTTTTCATTGGGATTTTTTTCTGCTCTTTGTGTAGTGTGCGGAAATTCCGTCTGAGAAGTAAAGTTCATTAACTACAACACACAATTGGACTGATTTAAAAATAAGACGAATAATCAATACCTTAATTACGCAAACAAGCACCATATTGATCTCTTTATCGATTTTGAGAATATTATTTGAATATTCTTAAACAAACAACATGAACACTTCCATAACACCATTGGATCTTCTTTTGTTTCAATTAACCCTTCGTATATTGCATTTTTTTAACCTCCTCAATTCTGGGTTCTGTTATTTTGTTCTCAATTAGTGGTACCTGTTTCTCTCTTTTTTTGTTTGCTCTATTATACATGTATTTTTTAATGCTTGTACTGTTCTTTAAAAATGAAAGCGAGGTATGCGCACGATTTGCTTTTTATTTCATCTCATGCACCGCATATTATGTTCTTAAGCTGTAGATTCGTTTATACTATTTTATTTAAGAAAAAACCATAATGAGCATCGGCTTACGTCTTACCAAGAGACGAGACAGCAAAAACATGTGCGCTCACCAAGCAAACTTAAGGGAATACGGTATTCTCCTGATTCCAAGTGTTTTACTTATTGCGAGTTTCAAGAAATTTCATTGACTCCTCATTAGAAAGTCCCAAGAGTTCAAATCACTACTGGCTTGAAAAAGGATACATTTTTCTCTCTATTTGGTGATCTGCAAAAAAGTGACTACGTTTTTTGAACTTTTAAAATAAATTACTGCTGCTTGCTCGCAAAAGTTTCAACACCTGAAATGAACCTTGTATAGTGTGTTTCGCTTGGTCTAAAGAGTCAACTTCTGCTTCTCATCTTGTTCTATTTAGATTTAGAATTGAGTCACAAAAAAGTCTAACACTTTGTTGGTACACCTCTGTTTCTTTAAATAGAAAATAATTTCGTTATTTGACTTTCCCCCTTTTCAAACTAAAGTTAGATAATTCCTTTTAGACCACGTTTGCCCACTTGTTATTTTCTATGTATGGTATTTTGCTTGTTTTAACTGGAAGTACGAAATTCTAGCGAGGACAAAATGCATAAATAGACTAACAAATATGCGACGAAAAAATTACAGGAACTTCGAATTTGTAGTTTATTGGCGTGTTTTAGAATGTGCGCATTTGCGCTTTGATCTAAGGAAGCATGATATCAAATTAAAGAACACGTTTCAAAATATCACGCCATTTACTCTACACAAAATATTGGAAATACTTTTACGCCTTTTGAGTAATACGGGATACCCTGATTTTTTAATTGGTAAGATTAATACGATTGTTCATAGTAGGTAACTGAGTTTAAAATCAAATATTAAAAAGAATAAAACATGAAGAAAGAAAATCAAATCAGAGGAAGTGCGTTGGCTGCTTAACGGTATGACGAGGCAACAACTGTTCAATTTCATGCTAAACACTTGCCTCGTTGTACCCATTTTTGTGTCCCCAACTCACTATTTTGTGTACCCCTTCCCCCCTTCCCCCCACCCCTGCAGGAGTACAAGCGTACGTGTGAGAAGGCGTTGGCTGACACGGCTAACCCTCTGCACATTGCTGAGGAGTGTCTCATGAACCGTGAGAAGAGGCAGGGTATTGACCTCGTGAACGACGACGTGGAGAAGTCTCTCATCAAGGTACATGATGATAATGATGATGATGATGATGATGATGATGATGATGATGATGATGATGATGATGATGATGATGATAATTTTTTTTGTTTCCTTAATGGGTCTGGCGGACTCCATGAAAAAATCTTCGAGCGAGAGCGAGGCTCTTTTTCGGCTCCATTGTCAATATGCTTAGCGGCACCTCCACTCGTCCAACTGACTCCTTTCGAATTGCCATCGATTGGCGAGAAGAGGTGCCTTTTTGCAGTAACTTGATGACGATGATGATGATGATGATGATGATGATGATGATGATGATGATGATGATGATGATGAGGATGAGGAGGAGGAGGAGGAGGAGGAGGAGGAGGAGGAGGAGGAGAATGAGGAGGAAAATGAGGAGGAGGAAAAGGAAGAGGAGTGGGAGTAGGAGACAGAAGATGAAACAGAGTAATTAAAAAATGAACAAAAGTGCAGACAAAAAAACCCCGGAAAAGCCGAATAGCAAGAGAACTTAAAACAATAAAAGCAATACGAAACAAACTAGAAACATAGGGGGCTCAAAGGTTTCTGTTTATGCACATTGCTGTCAATAAGGGAGGCTATGATATCTCACTCACCTGGGCGTGATTACTTTCTGTCTATAGGAAGTTGATGTGATCAAGAAGTGCCAAGCCAAGATGAAGAAAGTCCTGGATAAGGCTTACGTTCAGCTGAAGTAAGCACTTGACCCAAGCTTTATTGCTCTCTCTCGGTGCATTTCTGTCATGATGTCTGTTTGTGTCAGTCAGTAAATCAATAGTGCATGTGGTACTTGTGCTACTCCTTCTTGTCAGTATTCTTATCAGAGTTATATATCTGGTGAATTGTGACTATTAAATTGCAAGCGTTTCGTTCAAAACAATAAGAAAACATAACAATAACAAACACAACAACACGTAACAACCGCCACAACCACTTGTATATTATTTATCTCTATATTACCTTATTTTTTTTAGCAGTCAGTATACTGTTATTCATAATTTACAGTGGGTGGTTAGCGGGTGCTCGGATGTGGTTTGCTTCTTCTTTCCTATCAAACATCTATCGTCCTTATCTCTCCTTCTTTTTTTATGTTTGTTACTCTCTTGTAACACCTCTAATCTTATATGAACTTATGCAGTTGCGAGCGCCGTAAAATCTCTACTAAAACTAAACAGTGTTCATCTCTCAGTCTTGTTCGTTAGCTTGTATATTTGTCCATTTGTTTGTTTTGATAGCCTCTCTGTGTTTTTATCTATTAATCTGCCTGTCACTTGTTTTTATTTTCTCAGAACTAGATTCTATATTATACATCTAAAAATACGGACTTTTTGCTAACCCACAAGGGACACAATCCATGGTTTTCTTAATGCTAAAAACACGCCCTTGCTGATTCCCTTCTTATTTTCTTGCTGCTGAGACATCAAAACTTATCGTCTGCGAAATTCTTGAAAAGTTGCCTGCCTTGAAAATTCTGTGGGCACGTGTAGAGAATTGTACAGGCGCTAAGGGTTTTTCAACCCATCTCACTGTCCCCAGTTTAATCTAATTTCGTGATCTCCCCCCCCCCCCCCTTATTCACCCCTATTCCTTTCCCAAATCGTTTGGCGGTGCTCTGGTATTGTTTGCTCCTTCTTTCCCATCAAACGTCTCATGTTCTTAACATTCTCTTCCTTTTCTTTGTATGTCCCTCTCAAGTAACGCCTCTAATCTTTGACACTTATATGACCTGTTTGTGTTGCAAGTGGCACTAAAAGAAATTATACGAAACACCCTGTCTTTTCCGTTCCCTTCCAGGATGGACCGCGCAGCCCAGCATGCTCTGGAGATCGACGCCAAAGACAAGCACCACGCCCAGGGCCTGGATGACCGCATGCAGCAGCTGCGTAACTCTTCCGCCGGCGTTGGCTACATCCCGGGCATCGAGAACATCGACAACACGTGAGTGCT